TCCTCCCTCCTGCCTCCTCGCTCCCTACCCCTCCCTCCTTATCTTTTCCTCTTTTTCCTCCTTGACCTCCTTCCTCTGTTGTCACCTCCTCTCTCCTCCCTCTTTTCCTTCCCTCCTCTCCCTCCTCCTCCCTCCTCTGTTCTTCCTCCTTGCTCTTCCTCCGTTCTCCTCCTCCCCTTCTCCAACTTTATTTCCTTGGCTCACCTCCCTTCATCAGATACAGCTACCCAGCAATTTGCTCAAGGTCACCAACTCAAAACCCTTAACCTCCTCCTCCTCACTCTCACCTGACAGATTCCTACATCACGCTTACCGCCCTGCTCTACGGGCTATGGGACGCTACCCTAACGTAGGAGACGAGGAGGAGAGGCGATCCGAGCACTGACTGGCCGCCGCACAGGGACACGCAGACAGGAGGAAACTCAGCGAAACTCAACCAGGTCGAAGTCTCGCTATCCAACGCGATCAGCGTCGAGACTTGGAGGTGGGCCGGTGCGACGTCCTCCCAACGTCTCACGAGCTTGTCAGGGTTATCTGCACATCCCACAAAGAAGTCAACGTCCGAAGGTCGCTGCTCGCAGCTGCTGGAGAGGCTAGTGGAGGCGGGGAGGGAGGGGAGGGAGAGGAGGACGGGCTGCGTTCCTCCCTAGCAACGTCGATGACCTTCAAGGTCATCCTGGCACCCCGAGACGACCCATCGTCCCTGCTCAAGAGCATCAGGACTGTCTTCCAGGTTCGAGCCTGCTCTGCGTGTAGCTCAATTTCCAGGAGCCCCCCATGACAGTCTCTGATGTGCACTTGCCGGCCCGGCCCTCAGGAGTCTTGAGACGCAGTCTAGTTTCTTCCCCTTCCCCCCTCCCCTCCTTAGCCGCCGTCACCGTCTTGTGCTGACCCTCCTACCAGGACGGAACTTTTGACAAAGAGCTGAGAAAACGAGGAATCCAGGGTGTCAAATCTGTCATCCAGGAAGGGCCCAAATATGTCGGGCAAATCGCCCAGCAGGCTCCAGTGGCCACTGAAAGTACTTGCGGCAATGGTGCGATCGATCCGGGAGAAGCGTGTGACGACGGGAACTCCAAGGACGGGGACGGCTGCTCGGCGAGGTGAGAAAATCAACGCTGGCGGCACGATAGTCATTGACGACTTTACTCCTCTTCTACCCCCTCCTATCCCTTCCTCCTCCTCCTCCTCCGTTCTCCTCTCCTCCTCCTCCGTCCTCCTCCTCCTCTTCCTCCTCCTCCTCCGTCCTCTCCTCCGCCGCAGCTGCAAGATCGAGACAGGGTTCTTCTGCCAGCAAGCGGCCGGCCAGCGCAGCTCCTGCAAGTCCATCTGCGGCGACCTCATCCTTGTGGGCTCAGAGCAGTGCGAGGACGGGAACAGCGTGGCTGGAGACGGCTGTTACAACTGCCAGGTGGAGCCCCACTGGCAGTGTACCAAGATGTCAAAGTTGACAACCGCCAACGGACTTCCGTTCGGCAGGTCATCCATTGACGTCGGCCTGTCAAGTTTGACAGGCTCCAGGTGGTCTTGTACCGCCGAGCCCTCCTGCGGCCTCTACCCGTCCGTCCCCTTTGGTCAGACGTCCCCGTCAAATGAGCCAATAGAGATAGGAAAGAACGTGTCGGTAAGTGCCAGAGCCATCTACCTTCTCCCACCCACCCGTTCTCTTCCTTCCTCCTCCTCCTACACCACCACCACCTACCCCTCATCCGCCTCCTCCGTCTTGTCCTTAACTCCTCCTCCTTCCTCTATTGTCCTTCTCCTCCTCCTCCTCCTCCTCCTCCTCCTCCTCCTACTACTACTACTACTACTACTACTACTACTACTACTACTACTACTACTACTTCCTCCCTGTCACCTTCATTCTCTTCTCGATCCTCTCATCGTCCCTCAATCGCATTCCAGATCCTGTGCGGCCCCGGGAGTCAACCTGCTCGCATCGACGTCAAGTGAGCAGACGCGGGAGGGGAGGAGAGAAACTTACTGGAGGAAGGAGACAAAAGGAGAAAGTGGGAGGGAGAGAAAGACGAGGAAGGGGTAGAGGGAGGGAGAGGGAAGAAGAGGACAAGAAGTTGGAGGGGAAGCATTGTTATAGTGACGCTTAAAAGAGGAGGAGCAGGAGCAGGAGCATGAGCAGGTGTTGTAGACGAGGAGGAGGAGGAGGAGGAGGAGGAGCAGGTAGACGTGTTGGTGGTGGTGGTGATTCCGGATAACGTTGTTATCTTTTCTTACACGTGGATTGCAGCACGAACTTGCCAAGTGTGACAGAGCTTGGAGATCTGGGTAAGCCATCTCACTATCATCATCACCATCACCAGCACAACAACAACAACAACAACAACAACAACAACAACAACAACAACAACAACAACAACAACAACAACAACAACAACAACAACAACAACAACAACAACAACAACAACAACAACAACAACAACAAC